CTTTATCCCCGTTCGCGCGGCCGCTGGGAAACTGCGCCCTCACGGATAACAGACGCGTTTCAATCTGCGCGGAGGCCGTTTCAAATCCGCTCGAGGGGTATTCGTCTGATTGGAGATTCGGTCGATTGCTATGGCGAACCGGGAGTGAGATCGATCGTTCTTCAGTGTTCCCGTTTGATCGATTTAGGGTTGTTATCAATTGTTAACTGTAATCCGGCACTGTCTCGCGTTTCAAAGTGTGCAGGTTTGAAATCTAAATTTCAATGCGATTCGACAAACAGAACTTCATTCCTCGGTACCAGCCCGAAGAATACGTTTCTGAGAAAAGCGGTTTAACGTTCGGAAAGTCGGCATAAACGTTTCAAGAACCAGCTCGTATAAAACTCGCGCCATTCACGTTTCGTTCCGAGCGACGCGAAATATCGTCCGCGCCGAAGAAACGAATTCTCCGATTCGTTCGCACTTTAATCGCGCCTTAACCCCCGGTAATCCCGGCAACAAATTCCGTACGCAGTTGGCAATAAAGCAATCAGGTTAACGCGCCACATTATTTCCCTTATTAATCCTCGTTCAAGGGGAAATTAATAGGCGCCGTATCGGTATCCGCGGTCACAAGAAGCCCGCTAATAGGCTTCCTGGTAGTAAAGTGTCAGGGTCTCGTTAGCGATCCCGGGAAGCTGCGAAAGCTTCTGCCGGCGTCACGCAAAAAAGCTCCCCGTAGAACGTGTAACTCGCGCGGAACCCGGTCACCGCAAGAAGCTCTCCGCGACGCCTGAAATATACGATTTCCTGCCGGCACGCGGGAAAAAACGAACGGGGGGAAAAAACGCTAGCGAAAGGATAGTCATGGGGAGCCCTTAAAACCGCAATACGGGGGACGACGATCCGATCGATCGATCCTGCCGCGGGAGGAACCTGAAACACGCTTCCGAGAACTCGATGGAACGATTTACATCGGCGCTGGCCGATCCGCAGCTGAATCGAGGTCTGAAAATAATCTGTATCGTGTCTTTATTTTATTTCCTGAGGTTTTCCGAGTTTTCTTATTTCCCACGTGCAGGAACTTGAAACGTAATAAACATTTTCAATGTTGATCGACTGGAAGTATCAAGCTACGAAGTTTATCTCAAGAAACACTGGGTTTTCAATTTTAACACGCAAGATCGCTAGATTCTCCATTTTGTCTAGCGCTAAGACGAGGATTGCCAACGTTGATATGCATAAAGGTTCTCTGATCGATCGACAAGGTGAAATCCATCGATTTTCTCGGAAGCGATCGATTTCTCGCGGCTGACCATCGAGCAACGCAGAAGAAGAAGCTACGGAGGAGAGAAAATCGCACGCAGGAACGCGGAGATGCGCCGATCTTTTCAGACGTTGTAACGACCGTTGGAACGTTCAACGTTTATGTCGGTCTTCTGACTCCCCTGTCTTCTCCCCCCTGTTTATGTTCCGTATTTTTCTCCGTTCGGGGTTTGTCGGTCGCCGGGCTTTCCAGAAGCTCCTGGAACGACGCGCCGTAAAGAGAGGATCCCGGCCGAAGGACAACCGGCAAAAACCGAGGGGAGACCGGCGAGCAACCACCGTTCGCCGCGCGTCTTTATTTGGATCGGAATTTTTCGGGCAGGGTGGCGAGCCGCTTCCGCGCGCGCGCGCGCGAGCGCGAGACGCACTCGGATTCCAGCCGCCTCGCGTCTTCACGCTTTTTTCAGCAGGGGGATGGCGGAACGTGTCGCCTCGGACCCCAGGTGTCTGTTCGGTTGAGATACACCGTGCTCCTGCGTCCCTTTTTTACGGGTTTTCACGCGGAACGGTGTACCGCTGATGGATGCTTCTTGACACCAACCCTTCGACGCTTCGACTTGTAATCCTTTCTTTGCGACGATGCTGGAATTATTATACGATCAGGCACTCTGTTTTTCGTCGGTCATTTCTTTGGTAGCTGGACGTATAGTTGGCACAGTGATCGAGGAATAGGGTTGTAGAAACTCCGGATGGTTTAGCCCTTAGCACCTGACTTTCCGATCTACCTACTCCAAGACATTTTTAGTCCCCGTGATGAATATGAAAAATTATAAAATTTAGATTTTTTGTTCTTAGGAAAAGATTTGCGTGTGCAAATGCAATAATCGTAGGGTAGTTTTCTCACTTTTGATCATCGAAATGTTCAACTCCTTGCCTTACGATTTACTTCGCTGCTACGATCGACGAAACTACAAAATTATAGGCGTATTCTATATCAATCTTTGCTTCAAAGTATAATGATTGATAACAGTAGAGTAATATTTAATTTGCATTCAAGAAGATTGAGCAAACGTCCATGCTAGTTCAGTTCTGTTTGAAATCTGCAGGTGTCTGACACGTTATTGTAAGGCAAAGGGTTAATAATATAAGTGCCGTAGTAGAGCCTACAGAGTAAAGGGTTAGAGCTTGATCATCCGTTAGGGGATGAAGAGCTTCTTGAAATTTTGAATGAAGTTAGAAAGAATGTTACACTGGCGTCCTTGTCAAGATGTTTCTCAAGATGTTTTGACAGTGTAAGTGTTCCGTTTTCTTACAGAATTTTAGGGGTAGCGAGTTCTAGGCGCAGAATAGACTCGGTCGAAGAGGATGCTCCTCGAGACAAGGGAGAAACGATGGGAACCGAACGCGCCGAGGTGAAGCGGGAACGTGGACGTTTCGCGAAACGAATGGGGGATGCCATAACTCACGTTTGACACGGGATACGTCGTAATTTCGCATTCCGCGGGAGTCGAAGACCTTGGCGGAGGCCCTTCGTCCTTGCGTTTCCACGGGAACGACCGGTGCTCCGTCGTTAATAAGTCAGGCCCGTTCAAAGAAACGCAATTTCTTAGGCATCCTCCTGAATTCACGGGCGGCTCGAGTATCTAACTATAATTTTCGTAGGATCCCGCGAACGCCCTGCGAAACTGACGTGCACAACCCGCGGCACGCACAAGAAGCTACGCCGCCGTTTCAGGCCTCACGGTCCACCGATTCTTCTTTCTCTCGCCCCACC